TGTGTGTGTGTTTTAAGATTTTATTTATTTATTCATGAGAGACACAGAGAGAGGCAGAGACACAGGCAGAGGGAGAAGCAGGCTCCTTGCGGGGGAGCCCAATGTGGGACTCGATCCTGGGACCTCAGGGACCGTGCCCTGAGCGGAAGGCAGATGCTCAATCACTGAGCCACTCAGGTGTCCCCATGACTGCAAATTCTGTACTCTGGCCACCGCCTGGCCACCTGAAGCCCCAGCCACAGGGGAGCAGCGCAGGGAGCAGACCCCAGGTTTGCCTCCCCTCTTTCTTTCCTCCTCTCTCCCCCACTCCAAAGTCAGCTGTGGCAACTACTGTGGGGACCACAGGTCCCTTCCTCCCGGGCTCCTCCTGAGTGGCTCAGGGCTCTGTGAGGAAGGGAAAACAGTGCAGAAGTGGCCTTCAGGGAAGAGAGGGCCAGGAGCCCCTGAGGCCTCTCTGCTATGGACTAGCTGGCCTCTCCTCAGGGACTGCTCCAAGTCACATTTAAACAGCTCTCTGGGGACTTTCTGGGTGGTGGTATTTTGGGGAGCGGATGTGAACCTTCCTGAGGGGGAGTGATGTAAGCTCCAGCATCCTGCTCCCGTGCCCTCTCCCCAACCCCACCACCAGGCTCCATTTCTCCAAATTTAGAGTGGGAGGAGGAAGTGGCAGGCCCCCAGGAGCCCGAGAACCGAGGTCCAGGACGGGGTGGGGTGGGGGTGCAGGAGGCGGCATCACTACAGCTAACAGGAGTGGGTCCTGCGGGAGCTCCCGCTCCTGTCCCCGTCCCGCGCTGCACTCCTGGCCAGAGGGTCCCACTCCTTCCTGGATGGGAGGTAGCTGCGCCCCCGCAGGCGGCCCCAGGGACGCCCGGTGCAGTCGCGGCTCTGTCCCCCCCCCACCCCATTCTCTGTCCCCCTCCTCCTTTCCAGAAGGGGGGCGTGCGGACTGAATCCCGGCCGGCGGCCGCGCTGGGCAAGGCCTGGAGGGGGACGCGGGGCTTCCGGAGAGCCCCGGCCCCCTCCCGGTCCCTCCCGGCCCCTCCCGGCCCCCTCCCGGCCCCTCCCAGCTCCTCCGGGCCCGCGGCGGCCGCCTGAGCATTTAAGGTAATGTTTGGGTTGGTGCGAGCCGGCCGGATGCCCCGCCTGCCCGGCCCCCGCCGGCCGAGACCCCGGGAGGGAGCGGGGCTCCGGGGCGCCCCGGCGGGATCCCCCGGGCCGAGGCCTGGGTGCTGGAGGGCTGCCAACGAGGAGAGGCCCCCGGGGGCGGCGGGGACAGGGACAGTCCCCGCTCCGAGGCCTTAGCAGGCTTGGGGATCAGGATGGGAGGGTGGCCCCCCTCCCTCGGGCTTAAGGGTCCCTGGTCCCCAGGAAGAGTCCCTGTGCACCCACATCCTCTCTCTCCTTCTCCCCCCCCCCTCTCCCGGGCAGAGAAGGGGCTGAGAAGAGAGGCCAGCAGCTCCCAGGGGAGTCGCTGGAATGCTGGGAGCCTGGGAACAGGCCCCGCAGTCCCTGGGAAAGCCAGCCCGTGGGAATCCCACCCGCAGCCCCCTCCCCAGGATGGACCACCGGATGCCAGAGACCCCAGCTCCCCCACAGGGGGCTTTGTGGGAGTGGAAACCACCCACCCCTGGGAGCCCCAGCAGGGCTGGACCCCAGAGTTCAGTGGGCCAGCTGTGCCGACCAGCCCCTCCCCCGGCCCGGCTTGTGCGCCTGCTCCAGCATAATTCTAGCCATTGTGCCACCACCCCTCCCCGCTCCCCTTCTCTGGACCCCTGCACAATGGGGCCTTTGCCGCCTCCAGTACTCAGGGTGGAGATGAACTCACTCAAGGCTTTTCCAAGTTTAAAAATAGCCCCTCCCATCCCCCCCACCCTCAAGTCACCCTCCTCCTCTTCCCTCTGTGATTCTGGGGTGCACCTCAACCCAGGCTACATCTCCTTCCTCCTGCCCTGGGTCAGGTGCAAAGGGCATGGGTGAGACAGCGTCCGGCCGGGATAGGGGCTGCTTCCCCCCATTCAATCTCTTCCCCCACATCTTCCAACCCAGCCCCCCAGCATCCGGTTTCCTGGCCTGATGTCCTCAGCAACAATTGCCCCCCACCCTCCTCCCACCCTGTTTTCCACTCCCTCAGCACAGTCTCCTCCCAACTCAGACCCCCATTCTGGAAACATTCTCTTCCCTCCCCTACAAAGACTCCAACTGGCCTCTACTTTCTGGCCAGGCCAGGGGGTTCCCCAGCCTCCATAATTGCCAAGGCTCCTGGGCCACCCCCCTCCACCCCCAGTTCCTTCCTCATTGCAGCTGCAATGTCTTTATTAGCTTCCTTCCTCCGTCCAGCCCGCCCTTCTGTCGTCCTCCTGGTCAAGCCCCTCCACCAGAGGGGTGGGTGGGAGCCACTGTGCCCGCTATGTTGGAGCTGAGAGAGGACTCACAGGAGGACTCCTAGGTTAGAACCTTGCCCCAGTGGCCCCCCGGGGAGCAGGCCCATGCCCATCCTGGTCTTTTTACCTCCCACTCCACTTGGGCTGGGGCCCCAGGCTTCCCACTTTTCCTTACACCCAAATGAAAGCCCCACCACCCTGAGGACCACCTCCCTGCCCAGCCTCAGTTTCTCTGCCTGTGGTCAGACCTATGCCAGAGAGGCACACAGAGGACATTCCACACAGCAGGTCCCCTCATCTCTGAGTACCTAGGTCTACTGTGGGGGGTGGAGGAAAGCAGTCTTCCTAACCCCCTTCTTTCCAGAGATAAACAGACAAAGAATTAGCACTCTGGTCCAGGGCCTCTTCTCATCTTGGCCTATATCCGGGCAACACTGCTTCCAACCCAGCCCAGGGGCCAGAGTCTGCTAGTGGAAGGCCCCTCGGTGCCCTCCTGATCCCTGCTTAACTGGGGTGCAGTCCTCTCTCGCTTAACATTCTTCCTCTGCTGACTTTCTCTTCCCTGCTACTGTGGCAGCTCTATCTTCTGGCATCTTCGAGGAGCCAGAGGGGAAATACTAGCCACCTTCTGTTCCTTCTACCCTGTTTTCCTGCCTTCACTGCTCTTTCTTCCTGTTTCCAGACCCCTCTGAATTCTCTCCAAAGTTCTGATCTCTCTTTGGTTTGGAATCCCAAAACTGTTCCCCTCCTGAGACTGTCTCAAAGCTGCCTGCCCCCTGACCTCTGCCACCCGCTCCCTGGCAGCCCAGATTGGCCAAACTACCAGCTTCCTTAAAGGACAGACCTTGTGCTCATTCAGTGGAACCACAGAGGGAAAGGATGTCACCCTGGGCTCCAACCTCATTTCCCCTTCACCGCAGAGACAGCTCCTCCACCCCCACCTGGCTTCACTGGATGGGGGCGGAAGACGGAGTCCGAACTGACTGTCCTTGGTGGTTAGCAGGCTTTGTTTTCAGGCGGAGAGGGGAATGATTAGTTAATGGTGTTAAGTGAAGGGAAGGGAGTGGGGGCAGGGAAGCTCCATGCCCAGCTCTGGCTTGCCAGGGCAAACAGCATCCTTCAGTCATTCCCACTCCTGCCCCTGTAGACAGACAAACTCATCCATTCCACTCCAGGCCCTGGGCCAGTCCGTAGGTTCGCTCTGGGGGCTGCGGGACCACGGTCCTCTGCTTGTCCTCTCTCTTCCCCCACCCGGGCTCAGGGCTCCAGGCCCCTGCGGTGGCCGGCTTGGCATTGCCTCTCGCTGGAGACCGACGGAGATAGAGGGGTCGGCAAGGTTCTGAAAAACGGGGCTGATGTGGTTTGCCAGTCATCTCTGCGTCATCAAAATACCACCCCAGACAGAGCCTTCTCTCAAGTCACCTGCCCATCTCTGGCGGCGTTTGCTGCCTCACGCTGCTCCTCCCCCACCCTGCAGAAAGGCTGCCCTGCCAGGCGACAGGCCTCCTCCCTGAATCCAGACCTCTATTTGACCCTCCGCCCAAAGGAGGCAGCCGATGTGAGGCTGGGGTCTCTAAGAGGCAAGAGCCCATCCCACTCCCCAGAGCCTCAGTTAGAGAGGCCAGAAGACCTGGGTTTGGGAAGAGGAGGGGCCTGCTGTGTGGAGGGCTGCCTGCCGCCAGAGCTGATTCCCCCTCCAGGCTTCCACCCCCAGCTGCTGAGCCACAGTCAGCAGTGGGGGGCGAGGGGGCGGGGGAACCCTGCTGCAGGCGGTCGGTTCAACCATCAGGACAGCAACAGGTTTTCAGGGGCCCAGCGGGAGACCTCGCAGCACCCATGTACCCTTCCTTCTCCCTCTCTTCTTCATTCAGGTGAGGGGAAACTGAGTCCCAGCTAGGCTCATTGAGTGAAGAGGGCAAAAAAGCGATTTCTCAAGGTCTGGACGTGGACAAGTGTGAAAACCTTGGGCCTGTGAATTCAGCCCCTTCCCATTCGCCGGTGGGGACCAGCGGGAGCTTGGCTTTGCGGGGGCAGCGCACAGGGGCCATCTCCACTCCCCTGTCCGGGCACCTCTGGGTCTGTGGGCCCGGCCCAGGGCTCTTCCCGCGGAGCTGCGGGCGCAGCGAGGCTGGCGTGTGCGAGGCTGGGGGCAGTGCCAGGCCGGCGGCCGCAGTGGTGCAATGGTTCTGGGAAGCGGCCGGGCGGCCAGGTCTCCGGGGCAGGGGGCGGCCGCGGCGGAGGGGGCGGCGGAAGAGGGGCCGGGAGGCCTGGGCTGCGGCTCCCTCGCCCCGCGGGCCGGCCGGGCCCGGCGGCTGGTGGGGGCCGGGCGGGGGCGAGCGCGGCCGCCTCGGACCCCGCGTGACTCCGGGCGTCCGGGCCGGCCTCTCCCCGCCGCCTCGGCCCCCAGCCCGCCTCGAGACACCTGTCAAGCCCCCTCGGCCGCCCGGGCGCGCGCGGGGCTGGGGACCCGGCGGGGCCGCGCTGGGGCGGCGCGGCCGGGCGGAGCTGGGGCGCGCCCTGGCGGAGCGGCGGCGGGGGCGGGGGGCTGCGCGGGGCGGGGCGGGGCGGCCGGGCCCCCTCCCCCGCCCCCCTGACGTCAGCCCCCGGCCGCGCGCGGCCGCTCACTAGGCGCTCGCCCTCCGGCCGGGAAGCATGGGGCGGCCCGGGCTCGCGTGCGCCCTGCTGCTCGCCGCCTGCTGCTGCTGCTGCCGCCGCGCCGCGGGTGAGTGGCCTCGCGGGGGACCCGCGCCCCGAGCGGCCCGGGCCGGGGTGGCGGGGGCGGGTCCTCGGTGCGGCGCGCCCGGGAGCGGAGCCGGCGGCGCGGGCGGCCCGGGGTGGGCGCTGCGGCGCGCGCTCCTCCTGCCCGGCGCCCCGGAGCCTCGCGCGCGTGCGACTCTTCTTTGCAGCCAGTTTGCCGCCGGGATCCGGAGTATCCCGGGAGGAGGACGGGGGAGGCGGGCCGGAGGCTGCTGCCGGAGCGGGAGGGGGTGGGGCCGAGCCGCCGGGGCCGCTGGGGAGACCTTTGCCTCAGGTGCCCACTCGGGGGGCCCGCGATTGGAGCGGCGGCCGGAGGCGCAGCTCGAGCGCATCCCCAAACCCCGAATCTTGCGCCCGCCTGTTGCTGGAAAAGGCAGCTCGCTTAGCAGGAGGGGGTGCGCCGACGCCTCCTCTCCCGCCTGGGCTTCGAGCCAGGCTGGAGGTGAGCGGGGGGGAGGGACGGCGGCTCCCGGACGAGCAGGGCGTTGGCAGGGGCCGGGCGGCGGGGGGCGCCTCGCGCCTGCCCGGGGGACCGGATCACAGGTGGCAGAAGCGAGGGATTGAGGGTGCCCGGAGTGGAAGCGCCCCAGGCTTGGTACGCCTCCCGGAATGGGACCACGTTCAGGTGGGAAGAGCGCCGCTGCACCTCGGAGTTTTTTTCTGGAACTGCCTGGGAGCCCAGCGCTCCCGGGTCCACGCTGCCCTTGTATGGCCTGCAGCGGTGTCGCGTGTTTCTCTTGGCTCCTTTTCCCGGGTCCCAGCCGCTGTCCGGCTGGGGGAGGGGAGGGCTCGCCAGTACCCGGCTCGCTGGCCTCATGCCCAGTGCCTACAGCGTCCCAGGGGCACCCCCGTCCCAGCGTCCCGGCTGCTGCCTCCCAAGCTGACTATTTCTGGGGAAAAGGCTAAATTGGGCTCCAGGCTGCAGTAGATCAGCCCCACCCTGCCCTGCTCCCCTGGCCCTGGGGAAACGGAGTCAGGGATCGGGGAGGGCCCCTGCTCTGGGTTAAAGACCTGCCCTCCTTGTCGGGGAGCCAGCCCCGGGCAACGGCCCGGCATCCCAGAGGCCAGCCAGATGGTAGTGAGTGACATCACCTCCTCACAGGGCAGGCGGCACGCTGGCACCACTGACGTCACTCTTGCCCACTGCCTGGCCCTTGCCCTGACCCCTGGGGGAGATTCTGACCCCTCGGTGCTCACAAAACTCCCAGATGGGGTCCTCTGAGTTGGTGGGATGTTCATGGAGGTACTGCTTAGGGAGCATGTGATGGGAGCTCTGGTCAGGGCTGGCCAGACCTGGGAAATTTGTGGGAAATTTGGGGAGGGCTCTTTGGGGGGGCAGAGTAGTGATGTCTTCTCCTCGGTGAGGGGACACAATGGGGCCTGTGTGGCTCAGCCTGGCACATGCCGTGCATTCCCACATTCTGAGCTCACTGGAAGGGGTGGGAGTGTGGAAGGAAAGGGGCCTTCCTCTTGGCCCAGAGCCTGGTTGCCCCTTTGCCAGCCTCGACTGGAAAATGCTTGGTGCTCAGGGTGGGTGCTGAATGACCAGGAACAGTCACCCTCAACTCCTCTGACCGGGGGTGGCAGGGGGAAGTGGGCTGCTTGGAGCTGCAGGTAGAAAGAGGTTGAGGGTTAGGAGGATAGAGCCCCCTCCGGACCCAAGTGGCAGGAGGAACAGCTGCAGGGAAGGGGGTGTGAGGGGAGGGCATGGAGAGCAGCTGGAGCTGACACAGCTGCTGGGATGTCCCTCCTGCACCCCCAGGTGTGCCCGGAGAGGTGGAGCCCCCCACGCCTGAGCTGGTGGAGGTGGAAGTGGGGGGCATAGCGCTTCTGAAGTGCGGTCCGTCCCATTCCCCCGGCAACTTCAGCCACGTGGACTGGTTTTCTGTGAGTGTGGGGGCCCCGGAGAGGGTGGCAGGGCGGGAGGCTGTACCCCGCCTGCCGCCCCAGACCCCTCACCAACTCTGAGACACATCCCCTTAGGTCCACAAGGAGAAGCCGACGCTCATCTTCCGCGTGCGCAAGGGCCAGGGCCAGAGCGAGCCTGGGGAGTACCAGCACCGGCTCAGCCTGCAGGACAGAGGGACCACTCTGGCCCTGACACACATCACGCCCCATGACGAGCGCATCTTCCTGTGCCAGGGCAAGCGGCCTCTGTCCCAGGAGCACCGAATCCAACTCCGTGTCTACAGTGAGCGCCCCACCCCGTCTGTGCCTGGGGGACGGTGCGGGTGGTGGGAAATAGAGGTTCCAGCCCCTCATTTCTTCCCTCATAGAAGCTCCAGAGGAGCCAACCATCCTGGTCAATCCCTTGGGCATCTCGGTCAACAGTAAGGAACCAGTGGAGGTGAGACAGGCCGGGGTAGCCTGGGGGGCTTGGTGGGGTGTCAGGTGCCAGGAGACTCACACCCTGTCCTCCTCAGGTTGCTACCTGTGTGGGGAGAAACGGGTACCCCATTCCTCAAGTCATCTGGTATAAGAACGGCCACTCCCTGAAGGAGGAGAAGAACCGTGAGTCGCCCCCTCCCTGCCCTCAACAGCCAGGCACGTGGCTGCGCACAGCGACCACCCTTCCTCTCACTGCACTTTGTTTTCTTCAAGTATACGAATGAGGCTTGACAATCTTTTCACGAGAATTTAAACTGCAGAAAATCTAGAAGGAAAATTGTCTTCCTGCCCCAGATCCCCTCCCAGGAGTAATCTTGGCCGTGAGTGTTTGTTCTTTCCGGCCGATTTCTGGGTGCTTCCTCACGCAGATGGATACATGTAGGAGCCCGTCGGCTTTTATTTTTATCATTTAAACCAGTGGTTCTCAACCAGGGGTGACATAGCTCCCCCTCAGGGACGTTCAGCAAACGTGGGGAGGTATTTCTGGTTGTTGTGAATGGAGAGGCGCTCCGGGCACCTGGTGGGCAGAGGCCAGGGGGCTGCTGGACAGGAGGACGGGACCCCCCACAGCACAGGTCACGCTGAGATTGAGAAACCCTGACCTGGACGGGATCGTTTTGCCCCCCACCCCCAGTAGTGCACACCACGGGGATGGGGTAGGGAAGCTAACCCCTCGTTGCCCTGATGGTGGACGTCTGGAGTGTTTCCTGGGCACTTTTCCTCAGTCACCACAGCACCCCGTCCCTGTGTGTGTGTGCGTTAGTGTTGGCGGCGTGGGGAGATGACGAGCAGTAGAACCGCTGAGCTCAAGATCAGGGTTAGCAAGGCTTGCACTGTGCCTGGCCTTCCATGGCACCAGGGGTCCTTCTCAGGTGCCCCCCTCCCCGGGGAACCCCAGAGACCATGGGGTAGGGGTGCAGGTGGGGCCGAGGCCGAGCCTCTCCACTTTCTCCGGCCCAGGGGTTCACATTCAGTCGTCCCAGATCGTGGAGTCCAGTGGTCTGTACACCTTGGAGAGCGTTCTGAAGGCCCAGCTGGCCAAGGAGGATAAAGATGCCCAGTTTTACTGTGAGCTCAACTACCGGCTGCCCAGCGGGAACCACATGAAGGAGTCTCAGGAAGTCACTGTCCAGGTTTTCTGTGAGTCCTGTGATGGTCCCGGGCTGAGCTGGTGGCAGCTAGCTCCGCTCCCCGGCACGGGGACAGCTCGTGGGCTGAGGACCACTCCCTCTGTGCCCCTGCAGACCCGGCGGAGAAGGTGTGGCTGGAAGTGGAGCCCGCGGGAATGCTGAAGGAAGGGGACCGCGTGGAAATCAGGTGTTTGGCGGACGGCAACCCCCCGCCCCACTTCACCATCAGCAAGCAGGTACGGAGGGCGCCGTGCTGGGTGTCCACGGGCTGCGGGAGTGGCTGGAGGCACCCTCTGCTCACCCCTCTGCTCTCTCCCAGAACCTCAGCACCAAGGAGATAGAGGAGATGACGCCCGAAGACACGGGGACCCTGGTCTTGGAGTCTGCGCAGAAGGAGCACAGTGGGCTCTATCAGTGTCAGGGCCTGGACTTGGAAACCATGGCATCGCTGCTGAGCGACCAACAGGAGCTGCTGGTGAACTGTGAGGGGCCGGGGGGCCCAGGACAGGGGGACCAGGCGGGGGCAAGAGGGAACGTGCCCCGCCCCGCCCTGCCCAGGCTGACACCATTGCTGTGTCCCCAGACGTGTCTGATATCCGGGTGAGCCCTGCAGCCCCGGAGAGCCAGGAGGGCGGCAGCCTCACCCTCGCCTGTGAGGCAGAGAGTAACCAAGCCGTGGAGTTCCAGTGGCTGAGAGAAAAGGTGCCCAAGCCGTCCTGGGGCTGCGGGCTGTGCAGGGATGCGCGGGGCCGGGGCCGGGGCCGGGAGTGAACCCCTGACCCCTCTCTCACCCCAGACGGGCCAGGTGCTGGAGAAGGGGCCGGTGCTCCAGTTACACAACCTGAAGCGCGAGGCCGGGGGAGGCTACCGCTGCGTGGCGACAGTGCCCAGCGTCCCGGGCCTGAACCGCACGCGGCTGGTCCATGTGGCCATTTTCGGTGAGGGGCCCTCTGGGCAGAGATCGGCGGCGCCCCCAAGCCGGGCGGTTTCAAGCTCTTGGGAGTCCCTCACAGCCCCCTGCTGCCCTGGGATGCTCCGGTGGGGACGGGAGGCAGGCTAGCAGGTTTGTGCCACACCTGCACCCCTCCGTCCCCCAGGGTCCCCGTGGATAATGCTGAAGGAGAGGAAGATGTGGGTGAGCGAGAACGCGGTGCTGAACCTGTCTTGTGAAGCCTCCGGACATCCCCGGCCCACCATCTCCTGGAGCGTCGAGGGCACGGTGAGCGGGCGCGCCTCGGCTGCCCGGGCCTAGGGATCCCTGAGGGGATCTCCCCACCCCTGAGCGCCACCTCCATCCCTGCAGGCGCAGGAACAAGACCAGGACCCGCTGAGCGTCCTGAGCGTCCTGAGCGTCCTGGTGACCCCAGAGCTGCTGGAGACGGGTGCGGAATGCGTGGCCTCCAACTCCCTGGGCAGGAACAGCACCACCATTTTCCTGGAGTTGGGTAAGGGCCTCATCCTGCGGCGTGGCGGGCGAGGGCGCGAGCCGGTGCTTTTCCCAGCCCACCTCTCAACCCCTGTGACCGCTCAGCAGACTCCAGCAGAAGCACCGGGCCCCGCGTCTCCACCACCAGCCCCTCTGTCAGAGCCAACAGCACCTCCACAGGTCAGCGGCCCCGGCATCCTCCTGCTGCCCTGGCCCTCCCCAGGGAGCCATGCTGGAAGAGGGGAGTGGGGGGCCGTCTTCTGTCAGCCCTGGGTAGGGGGGTGCGGGCAGTGGTGGGAACCGGGCCTCGGGCCGGGAGTGACTAGGAGCGTCTCTGTGGGACAGAGAAGAAGCTGCCAGAGCCAGAAAGCAAGGGTGTGGCCATTGTGGCTGTGACTGTGTGCGTCCTGGTCCTGGCTGTGCTGGGTGCCGTCCTCTATTTCTTCTACAAGAAGGGGAAGCTGCCATGCGGGCGGTCAGGCAAGCAAGAGATGTAAGCATCGTACCCTGCGCCCCCACCCAGCTTCTCAGGCCTGGGCGGGGACGACCCCTGCCCCCCACCCCTGCCCACTGGCCAGCTGCCATCACCCGCACCTCCCTCCTGTTCATCGCCTGCTCCCTTCCCTGAGCTGGCCCCAGGGCACCTAAGAGCCCATCACCCAGTCCACCATCTTTCCCAATGACCCTCCCTTTCCTTGCCCGAGATGCCAACTTCTTGCCTCCCTCCCTCCCTCCCAGCACACTGCCCCCGTCTCGTAAGAGCGAATTTGTAGTTGAAGTTAAGTCAGATAAGCTCCCAGAAGAGATGGGCCTCCTACAGGGCAGCAGCGGTGACAAGAGGGCGCCAGGAGACCAGGTAGGAGGCAGCTCCTGTGGCCAGCGCCTGCCACAGCTTCAGGTTTCGGGAGCAGCAGGGGCTGATGTCTCCCCAAACACTAACTCTGTCTCCCCCCTTCCTCCTCCTCTGTTGGAGACCGGGAGCAGGCCCGTCTCGGCTTCCTAACACTAGTCCCAGATGGTAGGGTGAGGCTAGTGGCCGAGGGAGCCTGAGCAAACACTGCCCGTCACCACCACCTTTTCCTCGACATTGCCGTGGCTCAGGTCACCAGGTGCAGTGTGGCCAGTCCAGTTCGGGGGGCCTAGGCTCTCCCCACCCGCCACTCCCCGCCCCCTCCCCCTGCTTCCCTCCACGCCTCGTGCATCAGCTTCTGGCTTCAGTCCCTCTTCCCTTGAGCATTCATATTCACACCCCAGACTCCTGTCACTGTCCCTGCCACCCCCTGCCCCCTTACCTCTCCTCTTCCCGTTTCTAGGGAGAGAAATACATCGATCTGAGGCACTAACCAGCCCACCACACTGAGTGCCCTGCCCGCCTGGAAGGTTTTCTGTTCCCTGCTCCGCCCCCACCCCTCTTGTCGCTCAGGATGATCACCAAAGCCTCTAAAGTGGGCTCTGGAGAAGGCCCCTGCTCCAGCTGGCCTGCAGGCCCCGTTTCAGAGGGCAGAGCCATTCCAAGAAGGTCCTTTTCTGGGGACCTACCCGCCTCAGTCTTACTTTGTCGGGTGATGCTCATCCCAGGGAGGGGCCTAGCATCCGAGGAGTGGGAAGGTGTTTCTCAGGCCAGGTTTTCTCTGTATACATATGGTGGATGTACATACCTGTCCTCTGCCGGCAGCCAAACTAGGTAGCCTATTTATCTTGAGTTGGTTTCCTGCCCCAAAGGCTGGCTTTTTTAGTTGTGTTGCTGAAGTGAGGAGCCATGGCCCCTCTCCGTTGGTGAAGTACGCTGCTCACACCGGTTCTGGAGCGTACCCCAGCATTCATGACAGGCAGCTGCCTACCTGACTCTCTGACCCACCTCTCTCTGGACAGAAGCAAGGATGGACTAGTATTATCCCTTAAAAAATGTGTTGGGTCTCTCATTGCCCCTAAAGGGAGGAAGCTGGGCGGTTTTCCACAGTTAGGCCATTGAGCCCAAACCACCCACCTCCCAGTCAGGTAATCATGTCAGACTGAAAGGTGGGGTTAGGGGACAGAGATGAGGTCCAGACTGTCCTTTAGGATGATTAAGACTATAATTATACTAGCACCATACTTTAGGCCCTGACAGAAGGGCCCTAATGGGATGGTACTTAGGGATGAGAAGTGGGCCTGGCTAGAGCTTTGGGGTGTGTATATGTATCTGTGTGCAGGTATGTATGTATATGTGGTTTTGTTAGGTTGTATGTAAATTTACAAATTCCCAATTATATATATGTGTGTGTGTGTGTGTGTATATATATATATATATATGAAAAATAAAGCTTAATTGTCCCAGAAATCTCATACTGCTTTTTATTCATCATGGGTACTGTGGCAGCCTAGGGCCTCTGGATCTGGTGCAGTCCCAAAAGGAATAAGAAACCCTCTCCATTTGGGAGTGGGGACCAGGGGTTTACCTCTGCTTCTGAGCAAATGGCTCAGGTTCTACCACAGAGGATGATGACCCTCCTTAGCAGCAACAAAGACACCCTGCCCACGGCAGCTTGCAGGGCCTGGTGGGCAAGGAGCTGTTGCCTTTCTCTTTCCTTTGCTGTCACGCAAACCTGCCTTGGGAGAGCAGTAGACTGACCTGCCGAGTCTGTAGCACTCCTACCCCCATGGAAGAGCAAGAACGCCAGTCTGCTACAACAAAAGAAACTTTATTTAAAAATATTTTGTTTTTTTACAGACATGGGTGCTTGAAAAAGCTCTTTAGTTAACTGTGTATGGAAATGAAAAAAAATTAATAAATAACATTAGTATAACAGACCTCTAAACATTAATACATTGGCAAAACAAAAGGGACTTAAAATTGAAAATGAATCTTAAAGCTCTGCTCTTCTCTGTAAGAATATTTACCTTCTGTTTTTCTTATTCTTTACAGGTGAGAATGATTAAATACTGCTAATATAAATTTTTTTATATTAATGACACATTTTTAAAATAGTCCACAAAAATGTCATCTAAATTTTCGTTTTATTTTTAACACTGATATACAAATTGGGACTCTTTATTCTGGAGAAAGCATCAAGTTCTCCTCAGCCCCACCCAGGCCAAGAATGTCAAAATCCTAAAGAGGGAGGACTTGAAAAAGAATTGTTTCTCTCCCAATTCTTTATTAGTTAAAGGCAGGGAAGAACTGAAAAGGGAAAGGGAGAAGTAAAATACGTAGAAAACATTTTTTTTTTCTTTGCTGAAACCCACAGTGGCCACAATCCTGAGGACAGGCTCTGGCATGTGGTCCTTGCTGCCTTTCCCAGGGGAAAACTGGACTCCGCAGAGGGCACTGGCTGCTTAATGCTTTAAGACTGAAGTCTTCAAATAAAAGGAGAGCCAAGTCTAAAGGGAGAGGCATGAGGTCTATCTAGGCCAGTTCAGGATCCAGCAAAAAGAAAAGACACAAATGAACAACCTCCCATTGTCAGCAGAGTCCATTCTATACTCTTCCATGCAGTAGGGTCATGAATATAGGACCAGGAAACTGGCACACTTAAAGTGGACCAGAGTATACCTGGAAATCCTGGGACAGTCGCTCTCCTCTTGCTGGAAACAGAGCATTCAAACTGACATCCAACCTCAATTTTGATTGGAACCACCCAAACGATCCCAGGGTAATGCTTGCTTCGTCCGACAAAGCATCATGGCAGGGAGAAGGGACGGTGACCTGCCACACTTATGTGCCATCTCTCTATCCACACACAGTGTTTCCTCCTCCCCCCTAGTCTGTAAAAACGGACACTCAAGGTAGAGGAGCTAAGACTCTGGTATTTCCATATTAAGTCCTAAAATGCAGCCTGGGATACAGTGCTGCCTTAGAAAGGCACAAAATGTTTGACTTTTTTTTTTTTCAGTGTGCTAAAAATTGTTCTGTTTTGAATAAAGGAAAAAGATATATAAGGTTAAAAATCCCAAGTCACCACAGCCAGTAAGCAAATGTAGGAGGTACCTCATAGCTGCTATGCCCCTACCACATGTTTCAGCAGGAGGTCAAGGCCAAGACACTGAGACGGGTAGGTCAGGAGGCATCCACTCTCATGGGCACTGTGCCTACAGGCTCACCCAAACAGCAGGAGGAGGAAGCCAAGGAAGAGAAAACATGTGGTCTACAGACTCATAAGTAGTTCTCTGCCTCTTCAGTTTCCAGAAGCCACGAGCATGGCTACCCTCACCCCTAACAGGGTCAGAGGTAGGTAGGGAGGAGGGAATGGACACGGGGCACAGTGACACGCATGTACAGAAGAGCACAAACTTTGAACACACAGTCTGGCCCGCACCCAGTACCTGCCCCCCCCGCTGAGCGGGAAGCAGGGCAAGGCCTGAGGAGTTGCATGTGACAAGTCCTAAGCCACCCCACTCTCTGGACTCCCAGTGTGGTTCAGGGGTGGAAGGAGAATTTGTGAGAGGCAATCCAGAGGTGCCTCTCATGTTCATTTTAGGAAGCAGTCGGGAATACGGAGCCGGGTAAGCACAGCTCTGCTGATCTGTCTGGCTGCCTAATCAGGAGAAGGGCTGAGGCTGGCTTTCAGCCTTTGGTCTGTACAAAAAGAGGGAGTGGTCCACCACATTTTTCTCAAGCACTACACAAGGGAAGGGGCAGGGAGATCTCCAGACAGCTGTTACTCCTGGTGAACAGCTGGCCCTTCAGAAGGGCTCTTTGACTTTCCCATCTCAATGCAAATGAGCCTCCACTCGGCCGTCCCTATGTCCCCCACCTCATACTCTGGTGCTACCTTTTAGAGCCAAAAACACTTACCTGCTCCCCTCCCCCCTTGAAACCAACCCAGATCTTCTAGGACACAGAGGCACACAGTGCTGCTGCTGTCCCTCTGCTCCTTAATTCTGGAGCCGAGTCCAGAATATCAAATGCAAAGGCTAACGACCCACCCTTCCTCCTGTGCCTCAAAATGTGTATCTTTGGATTACTAGGTTCCTTCTGTGTATTCCAAATGACTCCAAGAGCTTAAAAAAGTTACAAGTGATTATGAAATGCCTTAATAACATGGGACAGACCCTAGGATGAGGTAAGTAAGATCAAAACACTTAGGCAGGCAGAAGCAGTTTTTAAAAATCAAAAACATACAGGCTTTGATACAGGACTATTAAAAAAGCAAGGGGACAGGCAAGACCAGGGTTTCCGGTCTAAAGGGCTCTCAGTCAAAACTCTCCTTTAAACTGGAGTCCACATCTAATTTATATCCTGGCAACTGTCCCAACTATTCTATATTCCTGCTGGCTACAGGGAAGTAGTTTCTGAGGGACCTCGGAAGGCCAGCCTAGGAATATTACCGCAGAGCTCTCCTCACGCAGCAAAGACCAGGAAGGGTGAGGAGGGCAGGGAGGGCCATGGGCCATGCGCCCCCAGAATGAATATATTTTCAGCGCTAAAACCTGAAGAGAGCCCAGAAGTCCATGGGCGGTGGAATCTGGGACCTGCTCTCCAAGTAATATGAAAGGAGGCTAAAAACCTGAGATTGAATGAAGGCGAAGAAATGTCACCTAAGAATAGACTAGCTCCAGAACAAGAGAAACTGGTCCTGAAGAGGGAGGGAAGAAATCTTGGATGCTAAGACCGATAAAGGGAATTAAAACAGGAAATAAAACAAAGATGACAGAAACCCGAATTAGGTGAAACCTAGCAATTTCTTCAATATCCCAGATATAGTCCCATGCCTGCCTTTCCATTCTCAAAAAGGGGGGGGGGCAGTACTACAGTTTTGCTCCTAAAATACTTGTAGGGTATCTGTCCCATCTAAAAAGCCTCTTCTCTGAGAGCCCTCCTCCACCCCCTGCCAGAGGGAGCACACCACTGCCACCCCTGGTGCCCAGGCTAACCAATCAGGGGCAGACACCCGAGCAAGGTGCTGGGCTGAGCATGTGTTTTCTTGAGAATATGACTAAGAGGTACGGGGAATCTGTGTATGATGATCCCAAGAGCCGGGAGGTCATGTGGACCTAGGGACTAGGGTGTCTAGTCTGGGGCTGTATATGACAAGAGGGAGAAAGGACTGGTGCAAATTTTGACAGTCCCAGCTTCATGTGAGAATCCACTGTTACTTCCTATAACTGGAATCTGTAAAATACCTGCATCCTCATGGTTTCCTCCTTTCTTTAGCCTGAATGCCTATTTCTTGTACCTAAAGGATTCCTAAACAAGACAAAGATAAAAAACTGTAACCTCTTTCCACTGTGCACCCTCCTCCATGCATTCAATGGCTTGAGGAGTATCTAAAGAAAGACTGTGAACACAGGCTGAAGTCAAAGTGGTGCTGGTACCACTCCACGATGACTTAGAATACTTCAGATTGAATTTCTAAAGTCTGCAAGTCTAGCAGGAGAACAGTAACGTGTGCTCCCTGATGCAAAGTCCTAGGGTTGTCCTAAGCTCCCTGCCCAGGGAGGGAAAGGCTGGCATTTCTGAGAAGTGATGAAGGTCCATCTATTTTAGTGCCCAGCTCTTGGGAGACCATAGAAATCTGTTAAAGACCAGGACCCAACAATAGGTATCCATCTGTCCCCCACACCTTCAGCCCTTCTAGGGCATGGGATTAGCTGCAAAGATTGTTGAAGGACTTGGAAAACAAGTCCCAAAGAGAATGGGAGATGGTGACAAGTCCGAGGAGGGTGACAAGGAAACTTCACAATAAAGGGGAGTAAGGACTCAAGAAGCTCAGTAAAAAGATCAAGGAAGGCACTGGACTGGAGAGGGGACTGTGGGCAAATGCCCTGCTTAAACATTTAACTGCCCCACTATGCAACTCTGAGCCAACATGAGCCTCAACCCACCCCCCAGATTCCACTGAGATGCATCCAAGATGGCGGGTACCCACGAGACTGACATGCGCAATCTCCCAGACATCATCAAAGCTCTAGGAAGACAACAGGAGTTAACGGAAAAGCCCTGCGGGGATTTTACCCAGGACAGCTCTATAAGGAATACAAACTGAGCAATCTTTTTGGGAAGGGCAATTTTAGGGCCAAATGCAAGTGCCAGGTGGCCCAAGTGCAATCTACCAGCACCATGTGGTGGTAGGGAAGAACTTGGGGCTGGCACTTATGGCACATGGGAACAACTCATCAACAATTGCTGAATGAGCAAGCTAATTGGTACACAGTCAGGCCAATAGTCAGAAAACCATTCTTCCCTGGGCAGCAGTCATCAAAGGTAGAAAGGCAATGGCAGGAAGGGGAAGCTGCAGCTTAGGAAGAAGGCTTATAACCCTGACTGTCTGACGTGAGGTAGGAGAATATTCTGCGTCGACACCTGCGCCAACCATCCACAAACAGGTGTCGACCTTGTTA